GGGTTTGAACCACCAGCCTTGTGGTTAGCAGTCAAGTGCCTTAGGCACTATGCTACCAGAGCTCCCTGTGCTGGTATTACGGATATAAAATATTAACTAGCCATAGAGAAAAATGTATCTGTAAGTAACTGTGTGGGAAGATCAAAAAGGGAACTTGCTTTAGCATTCTTTCATTTTCAAAGACTATTAAGAAAAAAAAAAAAAAAAAAAAGCAATAAACCAAGTCCAACATTCTTGGTTCTAAATCACGCAGATCCATCCAGTTCCCACTGGGATGAACTCTTAACAAACTTTACATTTTCATTCCAGGTAACTAAGCAGCACAGCTAGGAAGGGCCTGGAGACACGAGAGGGACACAGGTAAGTGGAGAGGGCTTGCTCGGACAAGCAGCTGCACTCACGTTCTCATCCTGCTCTTCGTCACTATCAAAATCGCTCACGACAGGCTTGGCTTTTCCTCGATTTGGCCTCTTCTTGCCTTTTCCTTTATCCCGCCCTTTCTCATCTTTTTTGTTGAGCTTGATTTTCACTTTAACAGATTTTGCTGGCAAGAAACAAAGAAAACAGACACCAATGAGGAGTAACAGGGACATCTTTTTAACCAAAACCAGTTGTTGGTGAATTGATCCTGACTCACAGTGACTGCATGTGTCAGAACAGAATAATGCCCCATACATAGGGTTTTCAGTGGCTGAATTTTTTTTTTCCCCACTTTTATTGTGGTGAAAACATAACACAAGACATTCTCCAACATAACAACTTCCATATTCACAGCTCAGGGATCTTGAAGACATTTTTCATGTTGTGCTGCCATTATTGCTATTCCCAAATATTCCACCACCATTGGCATCAACACAATGTCAGTGGCTAAATTTTTAGAAGCAGGTTGCCAGGACTTTCTTCCGAGGTGCCCTTGGGTGGGTTCAAACCTCCAGTCCTTGGGTCAGTGGCCTAGTGCATTAACCATTTGGACCATCCTGAGAATCTATGCTAAAGAAGTGATAGGTGGTATCAACAGCAATTTGTAGAAAATATATGTTGCTGTTATTATGTGCCATTAAGTAGATTTTCGACTCATAGTGACCCCACGTGACAGAGGAGAACCGCTCTATAGAGTTTTCTAGGCTGCTCTAGTGGTGTAGTGCCTAAGGCATCTGACTGCTAACCAGAAGGCTGGTGGTTCAAACCCACCAGCCACTCCTTGGAAGGAACTTTGGGCAATCTACTTCCGTAGTGATACCGCGTTGGAAATGCAAGGAGGAGTCTCTATGAGTCGGATCCAACGCGATGGCAGTGAGTTTGGTTTGGTTTAGAATCTTTGCAGTACTATCAACAGGTCTTTTTTCTCCCATGGAGCTGCTGGGCAGGTTTGAACCTCCAACTTTTCTATTAGCAGCCAAGCACCTAACCACTGTGCCACCAAGCTTCCTTAGAAAATGTATATGACACTAGTATTTAAGGGCAACAGTCCATGGGTATTTGCTATGAGCCTAGCCCTGTGCTAAGCCCTTTACCTATTCAGAGGTCATTTTTATTACCACAGTATTATAGAAAGAACCCTGGGGGGCATAATGGTTAACCATTAAGCACTTGGCTGTTAAATGAAAGGTTAGCAGTTTGAACCTACCCAGTGGCTCCATGCAAAAAGACCAGGAAATCTGCTCATATAAAGATGACAGCCTAGAGAAGACTATGAGGTTGTTCTACTCTGTCACGTGGGGTCTCTGTGAGTTGACACTGACTCAACGGCATATGACAGCAACAATTATTACAGGTGAGGAAACCAAGCATGGGCACTGTAGAGGGCAGCAAGGACACGGTCAAGTAAAGACTTAAGCCCAGGTGTGTAAACTCTAAAATCTGTTCTGGGAGCATCTGTGGAAGCATCTAAGCAGGCGGGAGGAGGCAAAGAATTAGAAGAACCAGACGTCTCACCCTCAGACTCAGACTCCTCTTCATCCTCCTCCTCCTCCTCTTCATTGCTGTCGTCTTCACTCTCTTCCTCCTTGGCAATTTTCTGCCGGGCACTCTTAAACACTGACTGCAAGACAATGGAGTCTTCATAGATCTAAAAGGGCAAAATGGCAGCTCTTAAACACGGCAAGCCAAAGGCTAAGGTTCTCCAGCTCCATGAGCGCTTTTTTATTTTTGGGCTTAAAAACAACAGAAATTTATTCTCTCTCAGTTCCCACAACATATACCATCCAATCCACCCATTTAATGTGCACAGTTCGATGCTTTTTACAAAATATTTTATTGTGGTAAAAATATATACAAAAAACATTTGCCAATTAGTATTTTTTTCACATGTACCCTTCAGTGATGTGGATTACATCCTTCTTAGTTGTGCAACCATTCTCATCTCCTTTTCCAAATTGTTGCTCTGCCATTAACATAAACTCACAGCTCCCTAAGTTTCTTGTCTAATCTTCGGAGTTGCCATTGTCATCTTGAGTCCCTGTATAAATACTGCTTAAAAAGATCACAGTGCTCAAGGCAGACATTCTTTACTAATTAAGCTAAATTACCGTTTGATTTAAAAACACATCAGGGGAGACTTTTTGTTTGTTTGCTTAAGGTTTAAGGATTATCTAAGGGAAATAGTTCCAGGGGTTCATGCAGCCTCAATGGCTCCAGAAAACCTGGAGTCCGTAAGAATTTGAAAATCTGTTCCACATTTTCTCTCTTTTGATTAGGATTCTTTTATAGACTATTTGATCAAAACAGCATGCTCGGAGACTCCAGTAAAATGGAGGAACAGGCAGACAAGCTACACAGACCCTCTTCAATAAAGAAAAGAGAAACCAATTGACAGGGAGAAAGAAGATAATCCCAGAGTCCTGAGCTTTGAAATGAAGTATAAAGAAGAGGATTAGGCATCAACTAGTGGAAAAACCTGAATGAAAACAATTCCAGGGACCGAAGAATAGGCTCCATTTGCCAAGGACAGCAGGGACACATGTGAGTCTGACAATAGGAAAGAAGACAGTTGGTGAGTGTACAAGTGCTGCCAACTAACAAATACAGGAGCACAGCACAGTACCTTGCTTACATAGATAACATACAAACAAAACAAAGAACACGGAAATTGTGGGCAAGTCACTCCAACATACAATCACCAATTAAATATAAATACAAAAATGTCACGATGCCTCAGAAACAACAGAGCATCATAGTCCACACAAAGAAGCAAGATAAAGCAGGAGAAACAAGGGACCAGGATACAGACCCAAAACACATCCCTGAGGAAGATGCAGCATTGGAACTCCCTGATAAGGAAAAGAATTCAATGAACTGAGAGACAGATCAAGGAAAACACTGACAAAATCCTAGAACAATTTCAAAAGACAATACAAGAACAAAATGACAAAATAAATGAAAAATTAGAACTGATACAAAATCTACAGATAGAAATCCAGAAGATTAATACTGAATTTTCAGAAATAGATAACATATCGAATGGGCAAAGGAGCAGAATTGAATCAATGGAAGACAGAATTAGTGAGACTGAAGGTAAATATCCGAACACGTCTTTGGAAAGGGATTAGTTAGAAAAAAGATCAAAACAAAATGAAGAAAGCCTAAGGTTCACGTGGGATACCATCAAAAGGAACAACCCATGTGTCACTGGAATTCCAGAACAGGAATAGACAAATAAAACCACAGAGAAAATTGTAAAAGATTTGTTGGAAGAGAATTTCTCTAGTATGATGAAAAGATGAGACTATATCCATTCAGGAAGTCCAATGAACCCCAAAAGAAAATCACCAAGACAGATCATCATCAAACTCACCAAAACAGAAGACAAAGAAAGAATCCTGAAAGCAGCACAGGAAAACCAAAAAGTTACCTACAAGGGACAACCACTAAGACTACGCTTGAATTTCTTGGCAGAAACCATGCAGGCGAAATGACAATGGGATGGTATATATAAAACCATGAAAGAGAAAAATTTCCAACCAAGAATTATGTACTCAGCAGAACTGTCCTTCAAATATAATGATGAAATTAGGACATTTCCAGATAAGCAGAAATTAAGAGAATTTGTTAAAACCAGACCAACCTTACAAGAGATATACTAAAGGGAGCCCTTTGGACAGAGAACCAACAACAGCAAACAACAACTGACCATTAACACACATAACCCAGAAACCAACCCAGTTATAGAAGTATCCAAAGTAAAGAAGCCTACAAGATTGTAAACAGGGAACCAGAGACATCAATTGACAAATGAAGACAACTACAAACCCAAACCAAAAAACAAACTCATTGACGTAGAGTTGGATCTGACTCATAGCGACCCCTCCTTGGGTTTCCAAGGCAGTATCACTATGGAAGTAGATTGCCCAACCTTCCTTCCAAGGAGTGGCTGGTGGGTTTGAACCGCCAGTCTTATGATTAGCAGTCAAATGCCTTAAGCACTACGCCACCAGAGCTCCCAACTACAAACCAAAAAGAGAAAAAACTGTGTAGCTACAGAACTTCTAAATGGTATGGAAGTCAAGACTACAAGATAGAACGGACTGTTCTAAACTTGGGAAGAAAACTATAAATCACAGAGTAACCTCAAAAAAAAAAATGGAAAAACCTTCATATCAAAATAAAAAGAGGACAAGCACAAATATTTAGCAAATACTAAAACAATAGCAACAAAGGAAGTGATAACATAATTCATAAACAAAACAAGCTCAGCACAGAAAATTATATGGAATAAAGATGTCAACACTACAAAAAAGCACATAACAAAATGACAGCAACAAATTCATACTTGTCGATAATTACATATGTGACAAGGGACTTATCTCTAAGATTTATAGAAAACTCCAATGCCTCAAAAGCAAAGGGATTAACAATCTGATTGAAAAATGGGCAGAAGATGTGAATAGACACTTCACCAACAAGCATATTCAGGCAGACAGCAAATACATGAAGAAATGCTCACGATCATTGGCCACCAGAGAGATGTAAATTAAAACAATGACATACCATCTCACACCAGCATTGATGGCAAGGTTCAATAAGACAGAAAATAACAAATGCTGGCAGGGATGTGGAGAGATTGGGACTCTCATACGGTGCTGGTGGGACTGTGAAGTGATACAACCACTGTGGAAAGCAGTTATGGTGATTCCTTAGAAAGCTGGAATTGGACACACCATTTGACTCAGCAATCCCATTACCAGGTATATATCCTAGAGAGGTGAGAGCCAGGACAGGAACAGATATAGGCACACCCATGTTCACCGCAGCACTATTTACAATAGCAAAAAGATGGAAACAACCTACGTGCCCCATTATTGGAAGAGTGGATGACCAAACTATGGTACATGCACACAATGGAATGCTATGCAGCACTAAAGAATAATGTAGAATCTGCAAAACATCACATAATTTGGGTGAACTTAGAGGACATTATGCTGAGTGAAATAAGTCAATCACAGAAGGGCAAATATAGTATTAGAGTTCATTGCTGTGGAGGGTTGAGGAAAGGTTTATATATGGAGGGAAACTTTGTTGGTTGCCAGGAGTGGGAGGGCAGGGGAAAGAACACAGCAAAAAAAAAAAGAAAAAGTGTTGCCCTATGTCACTTTAGTTTTGTGTATTTCACTGTACATAAATTATATTTCAATAATAATAATAAAACAGCATGCTCTTACATAACATGCAAGCTTTAGTTCACATGAATTTTGGTACAAAAGTCAACATCAGTTTTTACTGCCTACATGAAAACACAGTAGCAAAACACTAAACCCAGGTATACCAAACCAAACCAAACTCACTGCCGTTGAGTCTGATCCAACTCATAGCAACCCCTCCTTGGGTTTCTGAGGCAGCATCACTATGGAAGTAGATTGCCCAACCTTCCTTCTGAAGAGTGGCTGGTGCGTTTGAACTGCCAGCCTTCAGGTTAGCAGTCAAATGCCTCAGGCACTATGCCACCAGAGCTCCTAAGATGCCACCAGAGCTTATACACACACACACACACACACATATATATATATATATATATATATATATATATACACACACACACCAAAAACCAAACTCACTGAGTTGAGTCAGATCTGACTCACAGTGACTTATCCTTGGGTTTCCGAGGCAGTATCACTACAGAAGTAGATTGCCCAACCTTCCTTCTGAGGAGTGGCTAGTGGGTTTGAACCGCCAGCCTTCTGATTAGCAGTCAAATGCCTTAGGCACCATACCACCAGAGCTCCCAAACCCAGGTACACACACACATATTCTTATAGGAAACAGAAGTCCATGTGCAGTTGAAATACTTTCAAAGTATGTGTGTATGTTTAGAGGCAGAAGGTGGACCTCCATATCATATCCGTTTAACTTTAGTAACAAAAATAGTATTTAAAAAACTCTCCTTTGAATTAGTCTATCAAATATCCTAGTAATACTATATACCCACTGCCACCAAGTCAATTCCAACTCATAGAGACCTCACAGGGTTTCTAAGGCTATAAATGTTTACACCTCATCTTTCTCCCATGGAGTGGCTGGAGGGTTTGAGCTGCTAACCTTTTGGTTAGCAGCCAAAAGCTTTTGCCACAGCACCATGAGAGCTCCTTAGTAATACTATATGTAACCTTTAAAAATGCAATTCTTCAAACAAAATGGAGGCTGTTTGCTATTACCAAGTTTATCACTACCAGCATATATGCATTCATTCAACACTTTATCTTTAGGGTATGCAACAAAGCATAGCCCTGCACAGGTGCTGAGAGAGATTCACAGCTCACAAATGGTCCTTGCTCTCTAAGATCATGTTCTTTATCACGAAGATGAGCCGTATACTCTAGAACATGACCAGGCAACCTGTGGCAAGCACTACATGAATGCCATGAGTAGTGAGTACAATCAGAGAAGAAGCACCTGGGAGAGAGGCTGTGGGGTGGGGTGTGGGGGGCAGATCTTCCCCAAGACATCAGAGTTGAGCTGGATTGCAAAGGTGAGGAGGGCTCCGTCGAGTGGTGAGGAAGGAGAGGGAAATGAGAAAGGGAAACAGGTGAAAAAGGTGGGGAGGCAAGAACAAAAAAGATGCACCTGGGATTGTCTCAGTGTCTGTTCCCTGGTTGTGATATTACACTACAGTAAGGAGCTCTGGTAGCATAGTGGCTCAGGCACTTGACTGCTAACCAGAAGGCTGGCGGTTCAAACCCACCAGCCACTCCTCGGAAGGAAGATGGGGCAATCTACTTCCGTAGTGATACTGCCTAGGAAACCCAAGGAGGGGTCACTATGAGTCGGGGCCGACTCGACGGCACATTAACAACAACAAAAACAATGCAAATATGAAAGTTTCTGGGTGACACAAACGGTTTGGACTTGACTGCACACCTAAAGTTTGGCAGTTCAAATCCACTCAACGGTACTGCAAAGGCCTGGAGATCTGCTTCCATGAAGAGTACAGCCACGAAAACCCTATGGAGCAGTTCTACTCTGTAACCCATGGGGTCACCATGAGTCAGGATCGACTTGACGGCAATAAACGACATCATCAGCTTGGGAAGATGTGAAGGCTACACAGGGTCTCTCTGTATTATTTTTAACAACTATGTCTGACTCTACAATCACCTCAAAATGAGAAAGATGGGGCAGCAGGTGTGGTGTGGGACCAGTCTGACCAGAGCAGAATCTGTTTAGATGGAGGCATTGCATGATGTGAAGCTAAAGAATAATGCTGGGGTCATAAACACCAGCTGCCAGAGTCAATTCCAACTCACGGCAACCCCATATGTGTCCAGAGAGAACTGAGCTCCAGAGGGTTTTCAAAGGCTGTTTTTTTTTTTTTGTTTTGTTTTGTTTTTTTAAAGATCGCCAGGCCTTTCTTCCTTGGGCCTCTCAGTGGGCTCCAACCTTCAATTTTTGGTTAGTGGCCAAGTAGGTTAACCATTTCCCTTACCCAGGGTCTCCTAGGTTAGGGTACAACTTTAGAAAGCAGTTCATAGACATTACATTTATTCTGTATAGTACATGTGAGACCTGAGAGTTTTTTTGGGGCAGTAAATGAACAGGATAAAATGAGTAGTGAGAGAGAGACAAACTGGTGCTGACTATGGACTGGGAGGGAAATCAACCAAGAGGCCATGCATCACCCCAATTCAGTTGTGAGATGGTGAGAATGTGGGCAGTTAGGGAGATTTGGGGCTGGAAATGGAGTGGATGTGTATCATATGTGGTTAACAAGGCCACATAGGCATAAAGAATGAACAGTCTATCCAGAGGCAAAAATAAGCATAATACACAAAAAGGCTTCTTTGCTGACTCTTCTACTTAGTCTCTAAGTCCTGGCATTCATCTAAACCTTTCTGAAGACTGCAAAACAGAAGGCTCGCCTGAAAGGTCCACTGCTTTGGGTAGGATGACACTTTCAGTGTCTACAACAAACCTGCAAATGTAGTCTGTTCCAGACACACTCTGAGGATGCCTACATCCCCCCAACTTGGTGACTGGCACTGACACGAAAGTAAACCAAGATCATGAAAGAGGCTTAAGGAACTGATCAGTGGCTTCATATTCCATTGGTTGGAGAAAACACTGTCTTGTCATCGTCTTCCTTCTTCCCCATGGACATGAGACATTTAGGCCCGAAACACAACCAACAACTAACTGTGTTGGAGTTGACGCCAATTCATCGTGCCCCCACACATGTCAGAGTAGAACTGTGCTCTACAAGGCTGTCAACGGCTGATCATGTGGAAGCAGACCGCCAGGCCTGTCTTCCGCAGCACCTCTGTGAAGGCTTGAACCTCCAACCTTTCAGTTAATGGCAGAGAACGTTAACCATTTGTACCACCCAATGACTCCATAGGCCAGAAAACAGCTAGGAAAAGTGAGTTTCTATGAAAAACTAGTATAACTGAAGTGTCACTGAAGTAAAAGTGCTCTCCCCCTGGTTATTTTAATAAATTCATGTCACTCACTTATACACCGTTTATACTTGTTAACTGTGGAAGAGTAAAAAGAATGACAATTGGCCTGATAAGAAGCATTTAAAAACCAGAACAATTAGAGGTAGTAAAGGAGCCCTAGTGGCACAGTGGTTAAGTGCTCAGCTGCTAACCAAAAGGTCAGTGGTTGGAACTCACCAGGTGCTCCAGGGGAGAATGATGAGGCCATCTGCATCAGTAAAGACTTACAACCTTGGAAACCCTACGGGGCAGCTCTACTGTCCTACAGGGTCGCTATGAGTCAGAATTGACTTGACAGCAGTGAGTTTGGTTTCTTCGTTTGGTTTCGAGGCAGGGGCTTTTTTTCAATATTTTGTTTTGTTTTAAATTACAGTTGTTTCAAATCCTGGTTCAAGGTTGCAATCAGAAAAACCCAGGTAAATATAATCAAATACATTTCTCTATAAAAGTAAAAACTGTGCCACCAGCCTTAAAGTATTTCCTGAAATGTTTTAATTGAATTCTTCCTCTAATTAGAAGCCAAGCCTGTAAGGGAAGTATGAGTAGGAGCTAGCACAGCTCTGGTACAAAGGAGCTGATGCTAATTTGAAAATGCCAAAGCTTCAATTTATACCCATGGGCAGCATGGAATATAGGTGGTCCCCCCTCCCATTTTTCTTCTGCCAGAGTAGTAGCAGTGATTCAAGTAGTAGAAAAGGTTACTTAAAACGTGTTATCTAAAATAACAACAAAATTTGAAAAACAAAAACAAATCCACTGCTATTGAGTCAATTCTGACTCATAGACCCTATAAGGAAGAGTAGAACTGTCCCCATAGGGTTTCCAAGGCTATAAATCTTATGGAAGCAGATCGCCACCATGGAGCAGCTGGTAGTTTTGAACCACCAACCTTTTGGTTATTGGCTGCATGTTTTAACACGGCATCACCAGAGCTCCTTGAAAAGAACACAGGCATGTTTAATGTTAAAAACGTTTGACAACCATGCAAGACAGACCTGGGAGCCCTCCAAGTTGAAGGTCTGAGCGTTGTGGCACAGGAGCATGACGTCCTTCTCCAGGTCCCCCAGGCTCCGGTACTTATGGTTACGAATTCTTTCCTAGTGGGAATCGGGGATGAGATGGAGGAAGAGGAGAATGAGAAAACACAAGCATCACTGCTCAGTCCACTTCCCATTTGTCTCTACGGAGCTTACGACCCTGTCACGATGCCAGGGGTACCACTCACAAAAAGCTTCTCCCCTTAACTCTCCCTCCTGTGAGGGGGCAGGGGAGGAGCACAGGATGGGAGAGGGGATGCAGAACGGATGCAGAATGGGAGGCAAGTCTGAAACGTCCTCGATAAAGTGCAATGTAACACAGTACGAGCTCTTGATGTCATGATCACACAGCATACGTGTAAAGGCACAGGGACATCCCAACACTTCTAGTGACAAATTCTGGGTGGGTGTCACTGGCGGCCAGACACGATCCCACTGATAACTCCCACACAGAATCACTTCAATGATCTAACACCCTCTCCTTTATTTACTTTTGGGGAAAAAAAAAAAAGTTTGTAAACCAAATATCTACCTTTATTTTTTTGAAATCCACAGGCTTCCTAATTAATTCATAGTATTCTGGTAGTTCTTTCCTGGAAGGTAATTGAATGAAGACTTCGCTGAGCTGCCGCCCTGAACTGTGGGATGGGAGAGACAGACAAAAGCAAAACAGATCAAGCACCACTGAGGGAAAGGTGTTCTTTCCAGAGAACGTCAGTAAAGCAAATCACATATCTCATGCTTATGGACATAAAGCCAGTTGCTGCTGAGTCCATTCCCTGTGTGTCAGAGTAGGACTGTGCTCCACAGTGTTTACTATGGATTTTTCGGAAGTAGCCAAGCCTTTCTTCCGAGGTGCCTCTGGGTGGACCCGAACCTCTAACCTTCAGGTTGGTTATCGACTGTTTGCACCACCCATGGACTGGGCAGAGACATGGGGCTCCACCAGAAAGGAAAACTCGTGCAACTATGTCAGGGCAGTGCCTGGCGCTCACTTCAAAACCCCATTAAAATACCATTAGGCACCCAGCTCTGTCACACATATTATATGCAAAGTCCACTGTGCTCTTTGAGAGCAAATGTATCATTTCATTTTGATAGGAATATTTAAGACATTTTATTCAGCCCAAAATTAGTTTCAAATGAGTAATCAAATTGGTAAAATAAAACACAGGGAGGTAATTTCCACACTCCTTTGTCCTCAAATTCACTTTATAGTCAGAAAGCCACTGGAAATAGTATGTTAGAATATACTCTAGAAATGCAAATGAAAAGCTTTTGTATGGATCTAGGGACAGTGTCTATTTTTTTTGGTCATACTCCTTTAGAGATTTTCCTGCAATGACACACACACACACACACACACACACACCTTTGATTACTATACGCCAGAGGGACTCTCTCCTTTTGCCTAACTGCACTTGTGTGCGTATGGAGCAACTGGTGCAAAAAAGTGCAAGCATACTTAGCAAGGGCAGGTGCCTCTTGTTCCTGGGCTGAGTGCTATACCTGCCCCCACACTCAGGGGATTTATTTGAAAGCAGGTTTAATAGCTGCAAATGCTTAGCATTCTTAAATTGTGAGACATGGGCTATAAAGCAACAACACAGGCTTTTAACATCACTTAGTACTGGGAGCAGACATGGTTAAAGGAACAAAGATATTCATAATTCAGGTTCAAGATCCTAATACTGGCCTTGGCCTACCCAGATCAGTAACAGCTTGTGAGGTGGGGTAGAGTCATTTTTCACAAAAATCTCACTCTCCTCAAGATGCCACACCTCTACTTCCTTTGTCAAGACCGAAAAGCCAAAAATAATAAATCATCACAAATCACTGCTGTGTACATTTCGGAGGGCAATTCTGGGAGAGCTCGAGAATGCAGAAGGCAGCAGCCAAGCCTGAGTGACAACACGCCGTTTTAATCCACTGTCCCAGTTGTATAATTAAAAAATAATCATAATGACAGTTATCATAAAAAAGGCATGCGCAGTAACTCACACGGTTGCCTAGCAACGAGTGGGGACCATACCGAAGTGCAAAGGGGCTGCATAAATTAGCCGAAAACCCTCTGTCGAAGGGATGGGCGGGTTTTTCTGCTACGCTGGGTCACTGTTTTGTTCTATTTTATTTTTTTAATGCATACATGGGCCTCATGAATACTAAAGCCAGAGGGGAAACACAAGAGGTTTACAAAGATTGCAGTTTCCTAGGAAATTGGATTTTTCCATTATGGTGATAAGAACACCAAGGTTCTCTCTTACCCTCACGGCCACCCCGGCGCCCCCCCCCCCGCCTTTTTCCAGGTTGAGAAGCACATTCATCCCTCCATAAATTATACCTCATAGTATCTGACAAAAGCTATTTTGTTCACTGTCATCTTCAAACATGGGAACACAGCTTCTGGACTGCTCTTTTTCTGCCATTCTGAGATTTCTGAACACAAATGTTTTACCTGTTTGAAAATGAACATCTGAAAGGCAGTGTCCGGGGAGCATGTAGATTTTAATTTGCCCATTTCTATCAGTGGCTTCTTGATAATCAGCATTCTTTATAAACCTGGCATCAACCCAAAGTCATGACCCTTTGTAATGCTCAATTCAACACCTGACCCTCAATGACATCTTCACGGTGTCATTTTCGGCATTGCCAACAGATGGTGTCATTTTTCTACTGACGGATGAGAAGCAAACCTTTGCTTTGTACACCTGTGATGGGGAAAATTCTTAATTTCAACTGTGCTACTCTGGTGGTGCAGTGGTTAAAGCACTCAGCTGCTAACCAAAAGTTGGTGGTTTGAATCCACCAGTCACTCTGTGGCAGTCTGCTTCCGTAAAGGGTCACTATGTGTCAGAATTGACTCCATGGCAGTGGGCTTTTTTTTTTTTGGCTTATTGTTGGTGGGTGCCGCTGAGTTGATTCTGACTCAGAACAACCCCATGTGACAAAGGAGAACTGCCCCCATAGGGTTTTTTAAGGCTGTCATGCTTACAGGAACAGATTGCCAGGTCTTTTCTTCTGCAGAGTCACTGAGTTTGAACTGCTACCCTTTTGGTTAGCAGCTGAATGCTTAATCATTTTATACTATCAGGGGTCTCTCAACTATGCTACTGGTGAAATAAGAAGGGGTTTAGGGGCAAAAAGACAACTATTGGTCTCGTGCAGAACAAAAGAGAAAGAAGGAAACCAAAGACTGAGAGAAGACAGTAGTCTGTTGGACTAAGAGTCAACACAAACCACAGCCTCATGTACTCTGAGACCAGAAGAACTAGATGGTGCCCAGCTACCACTACTGACTGTTCTGATCAGGGCCAAGAGATGGGTCTTGAAAGAACAGGAGAAAAATGTGGAATGGAACTTAAATTCTTAAAAAGGTCAGACTTACTGGACCAGTTGAGACCTGAGGACTTCTGAATCCATTGCCCTGAGACACTCTTTAAACCTTAAATCAAAATTATCCCTCGAGGTCACCTTTCAGCTAAATAACAAACTGGATCTTTAAAAAAAAAAAAAAAAAAAAAGAATGTCACCTGTGAGTAATGAGTGTCTTTAAGGGTAGAAAAAAAATTACTGATAGGAGACCAAAAAAGTCAGCCATTACTTCAAAGCAGAGATAAGAAGAGGGGGCAGGGGAATTAGAGCACTAGGGAACAAGCAGAACATAATGAATGGAATAAAGACATACAGTGAAAAACGTAACCAGTATCTCTGAGTAATTTGTACAGAAGTTGTTAAAGAGGACCCTAATTTGCTGGGTCTCACCTCAAATAAAGTTTTTTTGGTTTTTTTTTCAAATGAGGTGGTTTGGCCCAGTGATATGTCACAGGGCTTTCTAACAAGGAGCTAACGGCTTCAACAGTCTTGATCTGACGTCTCTGTCTGCAGCCTGGGAATTCTAGACCCTATAAGGAGGTAAGTCCAGAGCCATCTGTGCTCATAAAGAAGAGAGCTGAATGTTCTAAGACTCAGGGCCAATACTGTAAAATGAGAAAGAAACTTAGCCCATTTCAAAAATAAGGGCTCACTGGCTGTCATGTTCTCCCACTTCCTACTTTCTCCTAAGGACAGGTTGCCATTGGCTGCTGTCAGGTCAGCCCCCAACTCACGCTGATCCCATGCTCCAGTGGGATCGAGACAGCTGTGATCCATTTCAATGGCAGAATCCTCGCCTTCTGTGTGGAAGACCTGGGTTTGATTCCTGGCCGGTGCATCTCATGTGTAGCCACTACCCCTCTTGTCAGTGGAGGCTTGGGTGCTGCCCTTATGCTGAACAGGTTTCAGCAGAGTTTCTGGACTAAGCTGGACTAGGAAGAAAGGCCTGGCAATCTATTTCTGAAAAATCAGCCAATGAAAACCCTAAGAATAGGAGAGTGGGCAAATGAACCCAAAAGCAATTTAAAAAGTCTTCTTGTGACTGTTGACTTTCCAACTTTATTCAAACTTTTCAGTCTGGCTTGCAAAGCCCTTCAGGTTAAGTCCCTACTCTCTGCAAAATAATCTGCACCACTGACTGACCTTCTCTTCTAATCAGGATGGCCTCTCTGCTGTGTACCCCTACTTCTATGATCCATGCCACAGTCTCTTGGCCTAACACATCTCCCACCCCATAAATGGAAGAGTCTCTATCCCTAATTCCCCTTCAAATATTTATTTCACTGTGTCCAAGATCAAGAAGCCATCCTTCATAAATTTTCCTAAATAGTAACCCTCTGTGTACTGGACGAGAAAGTGGTTTATCCAAATGGGTTTGATACTTTAACAGCCCAAAGGAATAAAGTCAGATGTGTGTTGTTTTTCAAGTCCCAAATTCAAATCCAGACCGAGTTCTTTCTCATCATGGTGAAAACAGATCATGATTTTTGACATTTTTCAGCAGACGTGGTATTTTGTGCATCTGGCGTCCAGTGTCAGCAACTGTTTACTGAACAGCCACAACAGTAAGAAGTATCAAAGACTGACCACCCTGCCCAACAGTTTCATCTCTACGGAGACATTAACTCAGAAGGAAGGTTGGGCAATCTACTCCCGTAGTGATACTGCCTCAGAAACTCAAAGAAGGGTTGCTATGAGTCGGGTCCAACTCGATGGCACATAACAACAATAACAACAAAAAGAGACATTAAAACAAAACAAAAAACCAGCTGCCTAACTTGATTCTGACTATGGTGACACAGAACTGTGCTCCATAGGGTTTTCAAGACCGTGACCCATTGGAAGCACACGACCAGTTCTTTCTTCCAAGATGCCTCTGGGTGGGTTTGAACCATCCATTTCCAGGTAGTAATTGAGCACTTAACTGTTTCTGCCACCCAGGGACTCCTCATACAGATATGCACAGACAAAAATCTGAGCCCTCTTCCAGTTTTTAGGACCTTATTTAAAGAAAAATGTGACAACTGGTCATCGGCCTGCATTCTAAAATACAGGATACAGGCTCAATATTCCCCCTGGCCCTAGACTGGGTCCTATGCTAGTGGTAAAAGATTCTGTAAATGGCATTGTTGGGTCAATTGACAAAATTGGAATATGGTGGCAAAATACTTGATCAATGGTAAAGACAAGCATGTACAGTTACTCAAAGGGTGAAGGAAGTGCTACTTTCAATACAGTGATACAAGCATACCTCAGAGAGATTGCAGGTTTGGTTCCAAACCCTCACGATAAAGCAAACATTGTGATAAAGTGAGCGGAGGTCACGGTAAAGCGAGCAGAGATCGCAGTAAAGCAAGTCGCACAAATTTTTTGATTTTCCAGTGCATGTAAAAGTTATGTTTATTATACTCCACTGCAGTCTATAAAGTGTGCAATACCAAAGATGTGCAATAGCATGATGAAAATTTTGAACTATTATGAGAATGACCAAAATGGGACACAAAGACATGAAATGAGCACATGCTGTTGGGAAAATGGTGCAGACAGACTTGCTCCACACAAGGTTGCCACAAATCTTCAATTTTTGGGGAAAAAAAATGCATTATCTGCCAAGGGCAATAAAATGAAGTGCAACGAAATAAGGAAAGCCTATAATGGCTCCTAACCCTGGTAGGTTATGCACAGACAATCCTCCTGCACAATGCGCTCTAGCAGAGAACCGTTTCTGCCTTGCACCCAAGAGAGGCAGAGGTTAGCAGATGTGTTCAGACCATCCATAGCAGGTCAGCCCAGGCGTCACGTCTGGAAGCCCTGCTCCGTGTGCACACAGGAATGCCAGTCGGCACCTGGCCCCTCTGCCTACCACCCTCCAGACACAGCCTGAGAACGCTGGCTTCTGCACATACTATAGGAGTTCAAGTACCCATAGGGGCTTTTTTTTAAGCTTCTGCACTGAGACAACACCAAGTTAAGCAGCCCATCACACTGACAACAGAAGCAGCCCTGGGCAGGAAACAGCAGCAGCCCAGCTCTGAGCTCCCACACTCGGCCAGGCCTCTGGACCAAGCACACTTGCAGAATGGACACACCCTGATTCACCATAGCACAAGCCAGACAGGCTTCCGGCATCACTCTGCCTCCTTCCCGCTCCACAAGGCAGGGATCAGGAGGCAACCGGAGGAAAGTGATTCCCAAGGCGACCCTTTACACATCGTCTATTTCATGAACCAAGGGATACCTGTATTCAGAGATACGGTCACAACAAGACAGATCCTGACCTGTTTCCTTCTATTTCCAACTGAGAATTACTGGGCACCTTCTCCACGTTACACCTGCGGTAGAGTAGAAAGAATACTGGTGTCAGAAGACCCAGGTTCACATCCAGGCCCGCAGGGTCCTAGGCTGGGCAGCTGAGGGCAGTTCATTTCACCTCTCTTAGCCTCAGGCTCCTCACCTACTGGTGACGGTTGCTGAGAAGATCCCCAAGAGTTACAGATAGAAGCTCACTCTGAAGAAATATATTATTTTCCAGAAATGAAAAACAAAAGCAGAGTTCATAACAACACTCTCCTGGGACTATTCTTCCTTCTCCTTCACACATATATGCCTCTTCACTGGTTCTCATTTTCCTCCATACATGTCCCTCCTGGGCTTTAGGATACATTTTCCATCCACCTGTTTCAGAAGCATGGGGGAAAGGCAGCTATTTGCTAGGGATGTGGGATCTTAGCAAGCTCATTTTAACTTAACTGAGCCCAGTTCTTCCTTGGTAATGCCAGGATAATACTTACCTCAGAAAGTTGGTGTGACGATTGAATAGGACAACATGTTTTATCACAGCATCCAGTTCACAGAAGGTGCTAGGGCGCTTTCTGAACACCATTGAGGTGGTCAGCTGACCACCTCCCAGAATGCTGTTCCCTTTGAAGAGATCCCTGAAGTGATGCTCCTTAACTGGGACAGACACTCGGCCACCACCTGAGGTCTCTAGCCCTTCCATGTGCCTCTGGGGAAGCCACTTCAGCTGAGGACTTCTGAAACCTTTTCCCTGGTTTTCCTTTTGTGCAGCAGTAGCTGATGGGCTGGACAAATATCGGGAGCCTCTCCTCCACACATAGTGAGGCAGAGGGAGATGGCACCCTTTGGTGTACACAGCTTGCATTTGGGCATGTGTAAATCCCTCTGACCCACTGGGCCCCAGAGCCAACTTCCCATGGGAGGTACAGCCAAGAGGACCCATGAGCACCGTGGGGTGGATGCCTGGACATGTGTGCTGCATTCCAGAAACAGAACACGCTGTATGTCAGACACAGAAGGGACTACTGGGAGAGCAGGGCCAGAGATTGAAGTTGGAAAGGTCCTTAGGGCCAGGCAAAGAAAGATGATTTTTCCTAGGCTGAAAAGTTTGATTGGCCTCACACAGGGAAGCACTGGAAAGTTCTAAAGTGATGGGAGGACACAGTAGATTTGTAGCTAATGAAGAAAGGCAGATGAGGAGTACATAAACTTAAGGCAGGGTGTGTGCAGAAGGGTGGGCGGCAGCTGCTGGTCAGTCCAGGACAGCAGGGATGAGGCCAGTAAAGGAGAAGAGAAAGGATGCTCGGAAAGAGCTCTCTAAGTGTTGAGGGGAGCTGGCATTTTGAATGCATGGTAGAAATGAGGGCTCCAACTGGGGAAATGTTCATTGTTTCCTCCTGAGTCTCTGGGTGGGTGGTAGTATGAACCAAGGGGACAGACACTCTAGCCGGCCACGTCACCTTACGACATACACTTGTGAAAGAGAGAAAGCTGCCAACAACAAACCTGATCCTGGGCCCATTACTAAAAGCATTTTAAACAGTTCAGAAAAAAGAAAGGCGTGGTTCTAAGGTCTAAGATAGATTACAGTTTGGTGGGGCTGTGAGGCTCAGAAATAAAGACCTGGCAAAACCATTTGGTTTCAACTGATTCTGGTTAGGATCACACAGGGACAGGCTTACACTGCAAATCAGCAATCTGATCGGGTCAGAATAAAAAACAGAAGTATAAACAAAGAAATAGCAACAGCAAGAATACTAAATAATGACATGACTCTGTTTCATGAAAGGTACATTGCTATAACATACAAGGTATGTTGTACCATCAGAAAGACAGTACAGTGCTAATAGGAATAGTCCCCTTTGGATTGAAGTTGTAGGCTTATAACCAAAGCAACCAAACTTTCAAGCACAGCATACACATCAATGCACCTCAGGTAAAGTTCTTTGGAGAAAAAACCCTGAGAATACCACTTTTAAATAGTAGCCCATCCCTTCTGGAGAACGGGATGGGTTTATGCTGGCCTTCAAAAAAAGGCCTCAAAATGAAGGAAATGGTTACCAGGAATGGGAGGTGTGGTAGTTCAGTTTGTGTGTCAGCTTGGCTGGGCCTGGTTGAGTGGCTGGGCAGCTGGATGTAGTATTGCCCATGATGAGACTGGTAATCAACTCCATGGTGAATCTACTGGGAGCAGCTGAGTAGCTGCCTTAGGGAATATGGTCTGCTTCCTGTATATAAGCAGAAGCCTTGGGGAATGGTCTCTAAGCTTATGGCACCTTGAACCCTGCATGTAACCATGTCATTGTTTAGCAGCCTGCCATGTTCTGCCAACCTTAGTACTTACAATAAACTTGGATTAATAGCTTGCCATGTGATTTGGTAATATCAAGACTGTGCCTTTTTACTTGTCAACCTTGGGCTTGGCAGCCTCAGCAGCCAGCAGCTGTCTGAGTGAAGAAAAGCCTCCAGCTTCAGTGGCCTGGGAGCTGGAGGCAGAGCTGAAGCCCAAGGCTGAGGGGCTTATACCCAGCCCCTAGAGCCTGGCACTTTGAACTTGGACTTAAAGCCTCCAAACTGTAAGAGAATAAACTCCTGTTTGTTAAGGCCATCCCATTTGTGGTATATTCTTGTCAGAGTGGTACTAGGTAACCAGAGCAGGAGGGGAGGGGAAGAGAAGGAAAACAGATGAATAGTTAAGAGACTGATGTTGATATGGGTGAAGGGAAAAGCAATATAACAAAAGCATGTGGCTAGCACAATATCACCAAGGAAAAGGAAGACACGGAGAGGCACACAAGAGGTACAGACGATAACGGTAAATACTACTGCATACATAATACTGCATCATCAGTAATAGCAAACAGTAATCTATCCGTGGATACACAAGTAGACAGGCAAGAAGATTAGGTATGGACAGGAGAATGGGAATATACCCACAACCATACACAGGTCTGGCAGACAATATTCCTACATATGTATTTATATGTGATATAAAAACGTACATATGCAGTGTAAGGCTAACAGGTGGCAAAGGTAGGATACCTTCTTAGTCAAAACTAAGCACGTTGAGGGAATGAGTCACTAGGCCTGCTCAAGTTCAACTGACAAAACATAGTACACAAAAATATTATTCTACATCTTCTTTTGGTGAATAGTGACTGGGGTCTTAAAGGCTTACGAGTGGCCATCTAAGATACAATTATTGGTCTCTTCTCATTCACAGCAAAGAAGAGTGAAGAAAGTCAAAGGTACATGGCAACAGTCCAAAGGACTAAAGGACCATGAGACCAGAAGAACTAGATGGTGCTTGGCTACCAATGCCAACCACTTGGAAAGGGGTCAAAACTGGAGATCCTGGATAGAGTGGGAGAACAACGGTACAACAAAATTTAAAAACATACAAAAGACCAGGTCTACTAATAGCATGGGAGCTCTGGTAGCATAGTGGCTAAGGCACTTGACTGCTAACCAGAAGGCAGGCGGTTCAAACCCACCAGCCACTCCTCGGAAGGAAGGTTGGGCAATCCTACTTCCGTAGTGATACTGCCTCGGAAACCCAAGGAGGGGTCGCTATGAGTCGGGGCCGACTCGACGGCAAACAACAACAACAACAACAACTAATAGCATAAAGAGTGTTCACCAAGAGAAAATATAAGGGAAATGCTACAAATTACTTGTCAGTGTGTACATGAATTAAATAAGTACCCAAAAAAACCCAGTTGTCATTGACTCTGACTCCTGGTGACCCCATGTGTGTCAGAGCACAACTGTGCTCCACAGGGTGGGTTTTCAATGGCTGTTATTTTTTGGAAGCAGACTGCCAGGCCTTTCTTCTGGGACAACTCTAGGTATGTTCAAATTTCGAGTCTTGCAGCTGGCAGCCAAGTGTGTTAACCATCCACATCACCCAAGAAACCCAAACTCACTGCCACTGAGTTGATCTGATGCATAGTGTTCCTGTAGGGTAGAACAGAACTGCCCATAGGGTTTCCAAGGCTGTCATCTTTATGGAAGCTGACTACAACATCTTTCTCCCATGGAGCAGCTGGTAGGTTTATACCACTAACCTTCTGGTTAGCAGCTGAGTGCTTCACCACTGAGCCACCAGGGCTCCTTTTGCACTACCCACAGACTCCTAAACAAGTGCAATTAGTCCTTAGAGTTGTGGCATACCACATCCTTGGGAAGGTACTGTAATTAGAAATGTCAGCTTTATTTTCCCAGGTAAACATGGTTACCTGATAAAAAGTTTTTTCCAGAAGCAACCATAAACACAAGATAATGTCCTTCTATCCTCTTAGGAGAAGTCCTAGGATGGTGCAAATGATTACGTGCTGGGCTACTAACAAAAGGTTGATGGTGCAAACCCGCCTAGAGGTGCCTCAGAGAAAGGCCTGGCAATTTGCTTCCAAAAGGTCATAAAACCAAAATAAACAAACTCACTGCCATCGAGTTGGGTCCAACTCATAGTGACCCCTTCTTTGGTTTCTAAGGCAGTATTGTCTATGGAAGTAGATTGCCCAGTCTTCCTTCCGAGGAGTGGCAGCTGGTGGGTTTGAACCAACAGCCTTCTCGTTAGTAGTCAAATGCCTTAGGCGCTACGCCACTGAAAACCTTATGGAGCATAGTTCTGCTCTGCAACACTGCTTCTCGTGTCCATTCTAAAGTTGGCCTGAAGGCCAAACCATCTGCCAATAACAGGTCTGGTCTTCATGGACTCTCCTGCTATAGTCTTCAAATAATTGATGGAGAGGGAAGAGGTGACAATGCTCTACTCAAATTTTGTTTCCAGAGTCTTTAGGAAAGAGAACAATGCTCCGACTTGAAAAGCAAGACATGATAAATGCTAAACAAAAGCTCTTGATAGGCGAATTGATAGAAAGAACATATCAAGCTGCTTCAATTGAGTTCAACTGTCCAGTTGCAAACTAATTATATCCTGAAAGCATGTGCTGATTGCTCCTGCTAATAACGTTTAAGAAATCACAGAGAATAGAAATGGAATCAGAAGGCTAGAGATAAGCAAACGTCCCCA